CCTTGAGCTGAATTTTGCCTCTTCTGTCCTACGTAGCACTTTAAATTGCCTCTATAATTGTACTTCCATCTTGTATTGTAATTATTTGTCTTTTTCTCTAACGAGACCATGAACCGCCTTTGAGGGCTGGGACCCTATTCTGTATATCTTTGTCCTCAGTGACTAGCATAATAGTTATTTAAGAATTGTTTCTTGGACAGATGGATGGATGGATGGCTACATTTCTAATTTCCCACCTGGATTATTAAATCTATTTATCCCCCCCGCACCACCACCAAACCCCCAACTTCTGTATCCACTGTGTGTATGCCTGCTGCTTCTATAGTGGAAAAAGAAATCCATCAGGCTTGCCTGAAGGAAAGCCTCCTCGGGCTGTGGCACTCCATTGACTCCTGTTAGTGTACTGTGTTCATAGCCTTTGAGTTCCTCTGAGTGTAGACTTGGTGGTGAGCTTCTGGCAAAAGTATCTTATTGAGGATGGGAACCATCATTTTTCTTATGTCAACACCTAATAAACTGACGTTCTGACACAGGCACTTAATAAATACTCCTTAATGATAATGAGGAAATGAGTCCTGATGGCTAATTGCTATCTTTCCTCACTGAGATGCATTTCCAGAACTGTTTTGTGGGTCGTAGAAGACTTTGACTTGCCTACATGTTTAAGTAAATCTGGGACTGGTTTACTGTCCTAATTCAGTGCTGTAGCCTGGTTTCTGAGGGTCCTTCCACTTACTGTCTCGTGCTGCATTAAACCCTGACTGCTCCATCCCTGTGCCCCTGTACTGCAAGCCACAGCGCTCGGTGGACACACTGAACGTAGCATTGAGCTCCTCCTTGGAAGCTGATGGCAGTATATTTTTTAAAAAATTAAAACCATTTTTCTCTTTTTAGTTCACAAGGCCCTCATTTAATTAAGGCAGCAAAAATGTAAGGGGAGAAAGAAAATGGGCACTGGAGAGAGGGAACAGAATATAAATTGGTGGCTATAGCCAGCCAGGGGCGAGACCCACATCTAGAACTGAAACTGTGATTAAGAACGTCACACCTCTTAGCCACTTCTGTTCATTTGATTTCCATGAGGAGCTTGGTTATTTTTCCTTTCGGTATGTGCTTCACACTTCCCTTTGTGCACACAAAGCAGTAAAGTGTCCCAGTGGAACCAGCTTCCAGACAGTGGGAGTTAAAGGGTCAGGAGCTGCCTTCGCACCCCAAACATGTATATGCTTGCAAGCCATATCCACAGCTCTTGGGTGTGTATCGGTTTTGGGGGCTTCTCTCTCAAAGACTGCCTTCTAGGAGTTTCTGGGGAAATGAAATTTCTGAGTAACATCCTGGCTCTTGTGGCAAGGCCATTAAGACAGTAAGGAGGAGGGAGATGGAGGTCCAAGGTGAATGTAGCCTTCCTCATTGGACCCATATTTATGGGTTAACTCTGAGTCTTTCCGGGTCTTTCTACAACGAGCAGAGGCCTAAACTTTAAAAACGATTTTCTGCTTTGTTGCGACTGCTTACGAAGCCTAAGGTGATTTTGACTACGCACTGCCGCTCACTCCTCCGAGGAAGCCCCGGGGCTTACCTTTAACCACCCTGCGTCTCTTTCACTAGCTTCGCCTTCATTGCTGCAATGTGGCTTACAGCACAGCCGGCTGGATGCGCGCGGGAACGCCCTCTCCTCCCCGAGACCCAGTGCACGGAGGGCCCTGGCTGCCCCAACTCCAGTTTCTCCCCACGGAAGCCCGAGGAGTGCCCTACAGGAACCCTGACAGAAACCTGGAGGAAGGGGGCCGTTGCTCCCTTCTTCTTTTGGAAATAGCTATTGAAGTTGCTGAACCTGCTCTCAGCAGAGTTAGCAACGGGGGAAGAGTAGCACAGAGCAAGTGGGCTATTCACGGACTGGGAGGAACCAACACACGTGTCAGAAGGTTGGGACCAGAGAAGAAAGGACAGGCAGAACTAGAGCTGGGCTGGGGCCCGCCACTTGATGAGTGACCTCCCAGGTTACTGTGCTGTTAGCTTCATCATGGATAAAATTAGAAGGAGGGTCCTTACGTCGTGGGTTGGTACTAGAGGATTCAGCATGATTATAATGTTGTTATAAAATCTTGTGGGATTGGTAATTACTGTCTTGAATTCTTTTCTTGGTCCTCATTTCTGGTTCTCTTGCTCAGGCCCTGAGCAGTGGGATGAATTCCTCTGGTCTCTCATTACCCCTCCCGCTTGTTTCCTAGTATCAGTGCTGGAGGCTGCCCCTTAAGTTCCAGGGTGAGCCCCAGGTTTCAGACCGTGGCTTTCTGTGCTTGCGGTCACTTTGAACCCCTCTTTGCACCTGTTGTGGTCAGGGCTGTGGTCAAGCTGACCTTTACAGTTGCCTGCACTCAGCACTCCATTCAGGCAGTACGTGTAATTGAAGCCTCCTTGCCTCCCCATCCAATAGGGTCGTCCTTCTCCACCTTTTGAAGAAGTTAAGAAATCGACCCAGAGGAATGGGAAGAAGTCTGACTCGAGGGTGAGATAGAGTGAGGTTGTCATCCTAACTCTTGTCACTTGCTAGCCTTTCCTAGCCTCTGGAGCCTGTCCTTATCTATAAATTGGAGTATTACCTACCACATGGGATCATTAGGAATATTAAATCAGATAACATGTTTTAAATATCTGGAACAGTGCGTACCACATAAGTAGGCCCTCCATAATTATTAATCTCTCCTTTGCTGTTACTTGAAAATACCCTTACCAAACAGGAAGTCATATATGTGACAGCCGGTTCTCCTGCCTCTTACCCCCTTGGTGCTACATCATCCTTAATAGGCTCCCCTTCCATCTAGAAATTCTGTGCTTTGTGAGTTGTTTTTCCAGAAATTGGATCTGTGCCTTACCCCTTGGGATAGCCAAGGTAGGTAGCAAACTAGCCGGGGTTCTAGATAGGTGTGTGGCTGTGGTATTAACACTAGCAGGCGTGTGTGGGACTCGAACCCATGATTCAACTGCATCACTGCGTCTGGCGATAGCAGCACTTCACGTCCGTCTGTGTGCACTCCATTTGCTTCAGAGCACTCCACTTTCATCTGACTCACAGGAGTCCTGAGCGTCAGGCAGATTCTCACTCTGCAGAAGAAGAAAATGAGACCCAGAACTCAGTCCCCTGTATCACGCTACTAATGACTGGTAGAACCCAGGAAAACACCACAGTTTTTTTTATTTTGAGCCTTGATTTTTCTATCCGGGAATTCTGTGAAGTTTTGAACCCAGATGAGAGCCTAAATTCTGGCCATGCAGGTGAAAGTTTGGAAAGTTTACAGCTCTGCCACAGAACCCTCTCGCTTTCCTGTCACTAGGGTACACCTTGTGTCCATTTCTTACAGAATATTCATCAATTCATTGAATGAGTTATGTGCTGGACACCGTAGGCCCCCGGATACTGTCAGAAACAAAGGAAAGAGTCCTGTCAACCAATTAGAAAGAATGTCTGATGGTGATGAGTGCTGTACAGAATAAGGCAGAAAGGAAGCTAGGGGTGGTGGGGGAGACACTGAGTTTTCTTTTGCTTTGATTCTTTGTATTTACTGTTTCCTCCATGAGAGTGGCCCATCACACCCTATTGCCAGATTCTGGCATATCAGGGCTTTTGGAGACTGGTTTTGGAGTTGAACCAGCTTTACCCAGTAGAAGCAGGTGCAGGAGCTGTCTGCTTACCCACTGAATTGCTCAAGACCTCCCCAGATTAGGGCTGGGATAGCCTGGATAGTGCCCTGGAATGCTCTGGTAGGTGGGGAGGGAGGCTGTGCTGGTTTTTCTTAGAGATTATTTGTGAAATCTAGAGCTCCCCCTGCTGTTAGAAGATGGGGAGGCTCTCAACTGATCTTTTTAAATGATTGTTTTTTATCCTAAGATTTCAGAAATGTTTGTTTTTTAAATAAGGACTGCTGGGACATTTAGATCTTTCTGCTGGGACTGTTGTTGCTGAGGCCCAGCCCCCAGGAGCGGGGTAGGGGGAGGAAGCACAAAGGCCCCGGGCAGGATAGGGTCATATCTGTGCTCTTGCTACTTTTAGCTTCTCCCCTGAGCTCCTGCCACCAGAGCAGCCTAGCAAAAGTTATCTCCACACACAGTTTCACAGCTGTTCTGAAATTCTAGGGCAGCAGAAGTGAAACCACTGTCTTGTAAATTTCTCTCTTATTGCTGCTGTTCCCTACTTGAAGTGAGTCAGGCCTTTTCCCCTCTTACCTTCAGGGTGTCCCGACTCATCCTTTGTCTTTATAGCCAAGTGTTTGACACAAAACTCTCTTCATTGTGCCATGTTCGAGGAGATTTGGTCCTGGTTTGATCTTGTTTGCTGGGTCGAGAGCTGTGGTCTGCATAGCAGTGGGCTTCAGGATCTGTAGTGAGCCCTTCCTGTCAGCTGCTGGTTGTGTGCACCAGGGTCAACCATACAATTACTGTGAAGGTTTTTTAGTCCTCAGAGATGAAATTCAAGGTAATTTTAGCAGCACTATATTAGCTGAAGTGAAGAAGGAAATGGCATCCCAGCAGACATAGGTCTTTCGTGTAAGTGCCCCATTCAGTTTGGTCACTTTGTGATTCCTAATTAGGTTGAAGGAGTAAGGTGGACCCGACATGCTGCTGTATTCCTGTCTGTGTCCCTGTGTCCCTGTCTTCACCAGAATGAGGTGGGGCCCAGCACACATTCCTGGAGGGTTGACTGATCGTGCAGCTAATGGTCTAGTAATGGGTCCAGGATATTTTTTTAAGTTGTATTCCATTTGTGCACTTTATAGAGCCTGAGCTTAAACAGTGACTGTTCTCATTAGGGATGAAGTAACCAAAACTGTTAATGGGGTAGCTGAACCATAAAGATACGTGCTTACTCAGATGCCATGTTCTTCTTCACTTCCGCTAAGAATTAGTATTGCTAAAATTAACTTGAATTAAAATGCCTTCTCCACTGTAAATTGTACACATGCTTCATAAAACTAATTCTTTTATGATTCTTTTCCCAACAGCTTTGAAAAGTCCAGCTGCGTTTCATGAACAGAGAAGGAGCTTGGAGCGGGCCAGGGTAAGGCCTTTCTTCCCTGAGGGCCTCCAGAGCCCATTGCATTGCTGGTGTGTCCCCTCCAGTCTAGTGGAAGGGGCCAGCCCACACCTCAGTTCCAGACACAGAGCGCTGCCTTTTTCTTTTCCATCCCCACCCCAGCCATCTCACAGCGTGATGTGAAATGTGACCAGAATTTCTCCTTGACTGCGTTTACGGGTATATGATGATCAGTCCTCCCTCCTGTTACTTTGGAGACCGCTGGTATATTCCCATCAGATTCCACTTACCCTTCTGTAGATGTTAGGACGCGAACACCAGCCATGGAAAAGCTGGCTGAGGGGCTGGCCTTCCACGTCTGTGGCCGCACTGCCCATGCCTCTCCAGGAGGGGGCATTCCAAGGGGCAGGAAACCTCACCAGTCTCCGTGTGCCCTGAGTAGCCAGCGTCCACTTGAGGCGGTGGATGCAGAAGCTGGGCCCCTGGTTTGAGCCCCGGTTCCTGCTACAGCACCTGGCCTGCTGCCTTGTCCCCCCCTTGGTTTCAGTTCCCTCAGGGGCCTCAGGGGGATATTCTGCTGCCCAGTGTGGACAGAGATGGGGAAGTCATCAGAACATGCTTCCCCTCCACCCCCTTCACTTTTTTTTTTTACATAAAAGACAAGGAAAGAGAACTTCCCCAGTGGAGGACCATATAGGTCAGGGTTCCATAAGACCCACAACTCTTTCAGAGACTGAAATATCTATTTCTAAGACTTTCTTACTGTCTTTATTTTATTTTTTAAAAAATTTCTAAGGAAAATTATGATTAATTCTTAGAGTGAGTGGGAAGAATGAGGTCACTGACACTGGGAACCAAAGCAGTAACAAACTGTGCTGTTGTAGTTACTGGGAGGAGTGGAGGATACGGGGCGGGGGCATTGTCTAGGCCCCTGACCCAGTTGTAAGATGGCACTTGGTGCCATTACCTGAATTGCTTCTCAAGTACACAGGGAGCTAATTGGAGCTCAGTAGAACTACGGTTACCTACGGAGTACTTCCACGTGTAGAGCGATGTCATTTGCTCATTTCGGCTCTTACGAGTTAGGTGCTCTTTTCTTCATTTCGTAGCTGCAGCTAAGAGAGGTTAACTAACTTGTCAAGCTAGTCAGTGGCAAAGCTGGGATTCAAACCTTGGTCTGTGGACTCCAGGTATTTTCTTAATTAGTACTGCATTCTAGCTCGTCCTTGGCCATGGTTCAGAATGTCAGGTAGCTTAGAAAATACGCCTCCCTCATGCCCATGAAGACCTGTGGTGTCCGATACCTGTTCTACCATGTTCAGCAGCCGTGGCAGTCCCGTTGTCCTCTGCAGATGGGGCAGAGTGATAGATCCAGAGCCGTCTCCCGTAGGGCTTCGTGCTCCCCTGGGGCGAGCACAGAGCTGCCCAGTCAGAGCTCCAAGACAGTGGGCGAGTGCCAGGGCTTTACCTCTCCCACAGGCAGTGTGCTCTGTGCTCTGCTGTGTTATTTTCTACTCTACGCTAGTCTACCTTGTCCTGTCCTGTCTTGTCCTATCCTTTCCTGGTTTTGACCTACTCATGGTCTTGACCTGTGGTTTGAAAAATTCTTGTGCAGCAGTTAAGAGCACAGACTCTGGAGTCAGACAGACCTGGGGCCACCTCGGCGTTATAGCACAAGCGCCAGGTGCTGAGACTGATCAGGAATGCTTTAGTTCACCTGGAGCCTCAGAAATGAGGGCATTGGACTTAAAGGAACTACAGCTATGACACCGTATAGCAGAATTAGTAATACATTGGGCAGCCATTCAAAATGAATGGAAAATGCTCATGAGATTATACAGTGCTACATTTTTTGAACAAGATATAAAATTATATTTGGGCACCTGGGTGGCTCAGATGGTTAAGCGTCTGCCTTCGGCTCAGGTCATGATCCCAGGGTCCTGGGATCGAGTCCCGCCTCAGGCTCCCTGCTCCTTGGGAGCCTGCTTCTCCCTCTGCCTCTCTCTCTTTCTCTCTCATGAATAAATAAATAAAAAGTTTTAAAAAAAAGATATAAAATTATATTCGCTATGATTACAGCTCTGCAAAATTAGACATCTTTTGCATGGCAGAATGATTAGAAATAAATATCCCAGAATACTAACAGTGGGTGATTAGAATTTTTTGTTATTGTTTACTTTGTAATTTTCTAAATTTTCTTTGATGAACATATATTACTTTTATGATAGTACAAGTAATACATTTTTAAGAAATACATTAATAGTTCAGCCTCAGAGAAACAAGTAGTCTTGACAGATGAGGGGGTGCCCTGAGCAGGTGCATTGGAAGTGGATGCACCCCCGCCCCCCCAGGCCTCTCCTTGCCTCAGAACCCTGCAGGCTCCAGGCTGGGATGGGGGGCAGCCGGGGGCTGCAGAGGTTCCATTCCGTAACTTGTATCCTGGATTTGAGATTCTCTTGGTGTGTTTTTTCTATAGACAGAGGACTATCTGAAACGGAAGATTCGTTCCCGGCCGGAGAGATCGGAGCTGGTCAGGATGCATATTTTGGAAGGTGTGTTAGGTTGGAAATGCTTCCTCCCCTTACCCTCACTGTTTCCCCCGTGCATCACCCACATTTCTATGTCCCTCTTTCTTATCACTCCCGTTTCTGTTGACAGTGCGTAAGCCAAGCCTTAACACAGTAGAACAGCAGAGCTGCGAGTTCTGCGAATTCCTAGAGCAGCACAGTCACATTCTCTTAGGTTGGTTTGCCCCTTTCTCCTCTGGCCACGTGGTGGCCCTGGATCTTGCCATCCCTTGGTTTGAAAGCCTTTTCTCCAGAATCTTCTAAAAACGCAGTTCCTTTCTGTGTTCATTCACTCCTTCACTCCCACATCCATTCAGCATCACATGAGCGCCTGTGACACCCAAGTAAGCTCATCCTAGGTGTGTCTGCCTGGCCTGGCACACACTTCTGTCCACATTCTACTGAAGAGACTGTTTTGGCTGCTGAAAGCAGTGTGAATCTATCCATTTTGTTGTTTTTAGTTTTGAGTCAACTTTGAGTTTGGAAGAGAACTTCCTTAGTCTTGAGTGTCCCGCTTTGTACAGAGAAACTGAGACCCAGAGCAGGGACTGAATTGCCTTTGTAACCCAGAAATTTTGAGGGAGGGCAGGGTGTGCTCCATCATCTGCCGCACTTTCAGTTCTGTAGCCCCCCACGCCCAGTGACCTTGGCTGGGTGTGCCCACACTCTGTCTGCAGTCGGGCCCCTTCTTGTGTCCTGTAGAATTTAAAGCTGGGCCGCTCTTCTCTGCCTGGGACACTCTCTACATCCTGATGGCTTCTGCTCCTTCCCCAGAGGGAAGCAGAGCTGCTCTGGAGTTCCCAGGGTAGAGCCAGGTCCATTCCTACATCCTCCTGCACTCCATTCTCTCCCACGGGCAGAGACCTCGGCCGAGCCTTCCCTCCAGGCCAAGCAGCTGAAGCTGAAGAGAGCCAGACTGGCCGATGACCTCAACGAGAAGATTGCACAGAGGCCGGGCCCCATGGAGCTGGTTGAGAAGAACATTCTGCCTGTTGAGTCCAGCTTGAAAGAAGCCATCATTGGTGAGGAGGCCCCAGGCACCCTGTGTGAATGTGCAGGCCAGTTGCAGGAGGAAGGGGCTCTGGGCTTCTTGCTGCTTGACTTCCTGCTTTGACTTGGGGAACTGGGGTGCAGAGTGTGAGAGCCCGAGAAACAGGTTGTGTTAGCTTGGGACAGTGCCAGTGGCCTCAGGGATCATGCCGGAATAACTAACAGAGGGGCCTCTGTCCCCTGTCTCCTCTGTACACCGTCTCACTGGGTAGCTAGATGTCAGGATTGGTGTGTATGAACCTACGGAGATGCCAGGAATCAGAAGTCTCTTCCTTACTGTTTCTTTTGATTAGTGAAATCTCTCCTTGAAGCCTGGCACTTTCTACAAATACTTCACTCAACAAATATTGATTGATCTGAGAGGTGTGCCAGGTGCTAGGACACAGCCCCACGAAGCAGAGCAAGCCCCTCACCCTTCTCGAACTCCCACCTAGGAGCAGGTTCAGGCAGGTAAACAGCTAGCGGCCGGACAGAGGCAGCAGCTGTGCTGGACGGAGCCCCAGCTGCTCTGGGCACACAGAGGAAGGTCCCCGTCCCGGCTCTGCCAGGGGGGTGGCTCGGGAGAGGTGACAGCCGAGACTGGGGCTGCGGGATGAGTTGGAATTGAAGTACATACGGGGAGAGAGGCACTACGAGCCCCAGGGAGGGAGAGCCTCACAGGGCGAGGAGCAGCCTGGGCGTGGAGCTGGAAGGACAGGGGAGGTGGGCAGAGTCTGGGACATGCCAGGGCCTTGTGTGCCCTGGGCAGGTGTTCGGACCTGATTCCTTTAAATTTTGGTAGTTGTTAGTACAGACATGTCTTCTTGGCTACAGTGGGCCTAAGACCTGGTCCTGCCCCTGGGGGGTTGCCGTGAGGCTCACCTGCTCCCTCCATCATAAGGAGTTAGATCTTCTGGGCGGGGTACCAGGGGGGAACCACAGACCCCAGAGCAGGCTGAGTTGGGCCACGAGCCCTGGGTCCGAGGAGACTTTGGTTTCCAGAGCCTCTGTGCTGCAGAGAGTGGTTCGACAGGGTAGGAGGCAGCCAGCGTGCCCTACCAGCCCCTTTGCCAGTGGTGCTGATGGCCCTCTTAGTTCCCTGCTTTGCCCTGGCATTCATCACCTCATCTCCGTGTTCCCCTACCCTGACCCTCACCGGATTCCATAGCAGCCCCTAATGTCAGGCCTGTGTTCAGGCCCAGGTCAGTTCTGGACTCTGCAGCCACCAAAATGTGAGAGTCAGCATGGTGCCAGGCCCTGTGTGAAGCCGTGCCGTTTACAAAGATGAACAAAATATGATGCTGCCCTCCAAGAATGCAGGACAATGAGAGAAGACGGATGCAGGAATGGGCACTTTCTGAGTCTGGCTCCCGGTCAGATGCCAGCGCTGTGTAGTGGGAAGGCCACGGTCCTGTGGCATAGTAGCTGCGTCACCAGCCTCACAGGATGGGCTGCAGGCCCACAGGCAGTAATGGGTATAAAGGGCCCGGCGGTCTTGGGCGTCTTGGGAGACGCCCAGAAGGGCTCCTGCCGTCACCTGTCTGCAACAGACAGGCGCTGTAGTGACGACGTGGGGGTGGTGGTAGGTCAGGTTCAGTGCGAGCCGGGCCAGCACAGCTTCTCTCAGAGACGGGCCCGGTGGGGAGGCCCGGAGTAGTATCACACACCGTAGGACACATGTGGGGTCCACTGTGCCCAGTGGAGAAGGTACAGAAGGACATTCCAGGCACGGGGGCCGTGTGGGCCATGGCCTGGAGGTGTGGCAGAGCATAGCTGGTTTGAGGATGGGGGGTAGTGTAGGTCGGTAAGCAGGTAAAATAACCACTAGTGACCTGAGAGAAAGGAGCATTTGCCAGCAAAAGCCAGATCGTGTGGGTTGGGGAATGAGTAGATGGTAAGGAAGCGTTAACAGCAGATGCAGACCGTTTGTTCAAGAAGTGAGTGGAGAAGGAAGAAGGAGGTAGGTGGTGGGCTGCAAAGGAGTTTTAGACTGGGAGAAATGCAGCTTTGTGGCTGAGAGGAAGGAGTCAGAGGAAGAGCTGGGTCCTGGGAGGGGAGAGACTCCGGCCACGTCTGAGGAAGAGGAGGAGGAGGCGAAGCTGGGTGTGGAGAGTGTGGGGAGGGGGCCGCAGTGGTCCTGAGCCCTGATAAAGGTGGGGGCGCAACAGGGGCTTTGCAGAGGCTGACCACCCACTGTCTTCCCCACACACTCCCCAAGGCCACTCACAGCACACCGCTGCCCTCCCCTCAGTTGATCTCTAAGATTCATGTCAAGACCCCTCCTCCAAGAAGTCTTCCCTGAGTGTCTCCACGGAGTCTGTGTTGCCCTTGAGCAGAGGGGATTGGACCAAAATCAGAGGGCAGGGACCCTGGCCCACCCTGCTCATTGGGCTTCTCCAGTGTGGCCAGCCACTGGTTCCTGTTGGACTGCCCTCAGGACGAGCCAGAGTGCCTCCGTCCCGGATTCCTCTGTCGCGTGCTGGCGCCGGGTAGCTGCCATCCCGTGGCCTGTCTCCTTGCTGGGAGGAAGAGCTGCTGGGAGAAGTCTAGATGTGTCAGTGGCCTGGAGTACGCGGCAGTAATCGAGCTCCATTCCCCCCTTGCACCATGTGCGCAGCCCCTGCCAGGACGGGGGGTGGGGGGCTGTAGGACCTGGCCCAGCAGTGAGCAGTACTGGCTCCAGCACCACTGTTCGCTCGTGGACATTTGAGCTCAGGTGTGTCCTTCCCTGGTCCCAGGGGAGGAGAGAGCCTCAGCTCGTGGCCCTGGAGAGGAAGAGTCTGCTGGGAGAGTTCCTGGTTTGTTCTTGTTCCCTATCGGTGGTCTTCCCACCACCGCAGATTTCCCCAGGCACGCCGCACAGCTCACCTCTGCTCTGACCCCTGCCTCTCTTCCTCCCGTGTGAACAGCAGACCCCGGCAGAACCTCTTCCCCAAGCACTGCTGAGCAAGTGGTTGGGATGTGAATTTTTTGAAATATCCTACTTGTCTTTCCTTCCTTTTGTGTCCTGGGATTTCCATACTAGGGCCCTGGTGCTCCCGCTCCTTCCTCCCGGCTTGGCCCCAGCCAGGACCCTGGCCATGCGGCTGGGCAGGGCACTTCGAGCCAATGGGATGGATTTTCTCCTGGTGCCTGCCGCTGCCAGCTCTTGGGTCTCTGGGAGTCGCAGGCCACTAATAGGAGGTCACCATACGTCCGGTCTGAGTAGGCATACCTTTTCCAGAAGCCCTTAGCCTGTCCCTGCCTTTCCAGAGGGTCGAGACAGCCCAGGGAGGAGCCGCGTTCTCAGGCTGTTTGTCCCTTTGAGCCTTCATTGCAGGGGCCACAAGCCTCTGGGAGAAGAGGAGAGTTTTGTGCCACCAGAGGATGGACATGAAGTGCCTTTAACAGCAGGGAAACATCTAGATGAGACGGAGGAGGCTGCAGGGAGGGAGCATGGAACTTGACTCTGAGCACTGGACACAGTGTAGAGTCAAAGGCAAGGGAGCGCTTTTGAGAGCAGAGTAGCTAGCACTCTTCTGCCTTTGTGTCCGGGTCCTGATGATGAGCTTTCCTGGAGCTCTTTTGGACCCAGAAGGCAGGTCAGCTGCTGGGCTTTCTCCTGTCTGCCTCGCTGGGCTGGAGGTCGGGGCACAGGCACCTCTCACCATTTGTGGGGGCTGGAGGTGGAGTCTTAACGACGGCTTTGGCTTTCAGTGGGCCAGGTGAATTACCCGAAAGTAGCCGACAGCTCTTCCTTCGATGAGGACAGCAGTGACGCCTTATCCCCTGAGCAGCCTGCCAGCCATGAATCCCAGGGCTCGGTGCCGTCACCCTTGGAAGCCCGAGTCAGCGAGCCACTGCCTAGTGCCACCTCTGTATCCCCCACTCAGGTGAGCTTGTCCCTCCGGATGCTTTCCCCACTCCCCAAGGTCCCCACACTTGCTGGAGCTGTCCAGAGTGAGGTCTCACCTGGGCCAGGGGGGACAGGGAAGCCAAGGGTGTTGCCCTGCTAGGTCCCGAGCTGGCTGCTTGAGCCCCAGAGATGTCGGTGGTGGGCCCCATTTCAGCTGCCTTGGCCAGCCCGCTGTCCTGAGCTGGGGCTGCCTCCCAGTGGGATCCCTGAGGCCCCCTGGCCAGTCCCTGTGTCCACGCAGACCCGCCTGCTTCCCCCTCATTCAGGTAGTGACCTGTTCACTGCCCTCTGTGGCTCCGTGTTCCAGTTCCCTCCACCCTGCCTCCCGGGGAGAGAGTGTGTGTGTGTACACACACACACAGACAGCCCCCCGCCCCCCCCGCAGTGCTGGTGCTAGAGGAGGTGCCTGCAGCCCCCTCTGGGCAGGGAAGGGCTGAGACGCACCACCACCTCATATGGCCGTGCCCCCCTCCTCTCTCAGGTTGTGTCTCAACTCCCATTGGGCCCGGATTCTGGAGAAACACTTTTCCTGGCCGAGCAGCCTCCTCTGCCTCCCAACCTCACCAACGGAACCGCAGCTCCAGTGGCCAAGCCCACCCCGACGCTCATTAAGGTACAGGTCCCCAGCCAACTGCCCTCCCTCCCCTTCCTAGGCTCCTCTGAGCCCTGCTGTGATTTCGTCCCAGTGGGGGGGCAGCTGCAGGGAGTGGGATGCATATCTCTTCCCCCTGGTCAGGGGCCAGCAGAGTTCCTCCTCTCTCTGTGGGCGCTGGCTGTCACACCCACAAGCGCCGCTTGCTGAGTGCAGTGGGCCAGGGTCTGGACGGGCTCTTCCTGGCTCTTACTCCACCCTCCCCCATGAAAACACTCAACACAACCCCGTGAGGCAGTCATAGTCTATTCTGTGAGTGACAGAACTGAGAAGTGAAATGATGGGCTCGACGTCACACATGGGCTGTTTGGGGCATTTTCTTTTTTTTAAGGTTTTATTTTGAGTAATCTCTACACCCAACATGGAGCTTGAACTTTGAACTCCAAGATCAAGACTGAGCCAGCCAGGTGCCCCTGGGCAGTTTTTATTCTCCTCCAAGGCCTGACCTAACATGTCTGAGGGGCAGGGCTTACTACCAGCCCGTGAGATGCCCATCTTTGTGTGGGGGACACTGTTTTGGGCACTGAGGTGAATTACGTGTAGCAGCACCGAGAGAGCCAGTGCCCGCCCCGCCCCCTCAGGCCCCCAGAGCCTCCTGCCTCCAGGGTCTTGGGGACTTAGCCCCCGACCGCCTGCCCACTGTCGCTTCCACACCTGTGGCCCTGCTCCTGCTGGGAGGTTTCCCTTCCTTCCTGTCCCATCTGCTTCTCGGTCTCATCCTTTTGTCTAATCATCTCCCTCCCGTCCCCCCCCCCCAGCCATCCCAGTTCCCCTTCCCTTGCTGGAGCCAAGCCCTCGGTGTGCCTCTGGCTGCTACCTGTGTGTGTGTGTGTGTGGGCGGGGGGACGCTCCCTGGTGGCGCCCCCGCCGCCAGGCCTTCCTGTGGGCACCATTTCTGTGGGGCCATGAGGCCCTGCTGCTGGCAGGGAAGTTCAAGTGTTGTGGCTTCCCTGTCCCAGAGGAGGCAGTGAGCCACTCCTCCTGGGGTCCCAGTGCCCAGGCCCTTCCTTCGTCGGGGCACCTCTCTTGGCCTCTGTGGTGTGTTTCTGGCTGGCCACAGATATCAGAGTGTTTTCCCCCAAAATCCTTCCTCAAATCTCCTCGTCACGCAACTGGTGCCTTTCTTTGACCACTACACGTTTGAAGGATAGTTTAAATATATCCATGTACCCTTCCTCTTTTCCGGGTAATGCCTCAGCCTTTGCGGGCTGGCTCCCCAAGCCCCCTGCGCACTGACCGCAGGCCTGTGTGGAGGGCAGGTACTCCGTCAGCCAGCTGTCGTGTCCACTCTTTGCTCCAGGTCACGGTCGCATCTGCATTCCGCTGATCTTTCTCTCCAGGCTAGAGGCTCTCTTGAGTAAGCGGGGCTGCGCACAGTCGTGCCCGCCCCCCTGGGCGCATGTGGGCGCTGACGGGGCCCCCTCTAGTGGAGGAGCGTGGAACTGGGTGGGGGGGGCGGCTCCTGAGAAGCCCAACACTGCCCCCTGATGGCGCCCTCCCATCTGCTGTGCCCTCAGCAAAGCCAACCCAAGTCTGCCAGTGAGAAGTCACAGCGCAGTAAGAAAGCCAAGGAGCTGAAGCCAAAGGTGAAGAAGCTCAAGTATCACCAGTACATCCCCCCGGACCAGAAGCAGGACAAGGGGGCACCTCCCATGGACTCCTCCTATGCCAAGATCCTGCAGCAGCAGCAGCTCTTCCTCCAGCTCCAGATCCTCAACCAGCAGCAGCAGCAGCACTATAACTACCAGACCATCCTGCCTGCCCCGCCGAAGTAGGAGCCCGCCGCCCTGCCTGTCCCGCCCAGAGGCGCCCTGCCTGGGCAGTGCCAGGCCTGGCTGGGTGAACCCCAGACCTTTAAGGACCCTTTGGTCTGAGTCCTCCTGCCCCACACCCATCTCTGCCCCAAGGGTGATGCTGGCCAGGTGCTCATGTCTACCTTTTCTTCTCCTCAGACCCGCAGGTGAGGCCCCGGGAAGCGGTGGGGCCCCCCCGACACGCAGCCTCTCCACTACCAGTAGCGGCTCCAGCTCCGGTGCTCCTGGGCCCAGTGGGCTGGCGCGTCAGAACAGCACCCCTCTGACTGGCAAGCCAGGAGCCCTGCCTGCCAACCTGGATGACATGAAGGTAGGTGGACTCCACGCCCCCTTCCCACTGGAGCCACTGCCGGCCCCACCTCCTGCGGGGGCCTGGCCTGGTGTTCCTCTGTAGGGAGAGCAGCCAGCGCGAGCCCCACGGCCTTGGGAGGCACAGCTGAGCTCCAGACTCTGGTCTCCTCCAGCAGAGGCCCCTGGAACCTGCTGCAAGGCTTGCACGGCCCTGGTCATCCATGGCGTCTGCCGTGTCATCCTAGTTATTACCATTAACTACAGCAGCCAGCGTCTGTCTGGGGCCGTGGGGCCTCCCGACCCCTGTATACAACTTGTCTTCCTTGGCCTTTGCTGTGCAGCAGGAGACACACGGAGTATCACCCCTGCTTAAGGACAAGCAGGCGGAGGTGCTGAGGGCAGAGGGGCTTGCCTGAAGTCTCAGAGCTGGCTGGTGGTAGAGTCAGGATTCAGACTTGGGGCTGTTCACTTCAGCTCCCCCAACCTTTTCCACTTTGTCTGCTAATGCTCCCACTGAATTTGCTACATCTGCTTGAGAAAAGAATGGCCCGTGCCTGGGGCACAGATCCTGCTCATGTCCCGGGGTCTTGGAAGGTGGCTCATGTCCGGGGCCTGGTCTGTTTCTTCTGCCCCAATCAGAAGATGGAACGGACCAAATTCTCCCTGGAGAGTTTGTGCTCAGGAGCAGACCGGCCCCTCCTGAGTCAGGATCCGACCCCAGCAAGACGCAGCCCTTGTGTGGATAGCTGGGTGCAGTCCTCAGAGTCCATCAGACCTGGATTTAATGTCTAGCTCTCCTGCTCACTAGTGGTGATCTTGAAGTTACTTTACTTTTGTGAGCTCAATTTTCTCATCTGTAAAATCAATCCAGTTGATTCAGTTAAGTACTTAAGTCATTGAGCACCAGGGCCCACGCTGGGGCTGGGGACAGCCGAGAGCCTCTCCTGCCCGGACAGGAGGGAAGAGAGCGTTTCATCCAGGCCCCTCGCGTGCTGAGGGTGGGGGAAGGGAGGAGGCCGGGCTCCCGGCACACACGTCCCACCCTCCAGGGCTGTGGGAAGGCCAGGGGCTCGTGGATCTGGAGGACCAGTGGGACCCAGATGGTTGGAGCCTAACGAACAAAGATCTCATCCTTCCCACCTCCCTGACTGCCCTCTCGCCTAGACCCAGTTCTCTCTGCTGCCCTGGCCCACGCCTGACTCTCCGCCCCCTTGCAGGTGGCAGAGCTGAAGCAGGAGCTAAAGCTGCGGTCGCTGCCTGTCTCAGGCACCAAGACAGACCTGATCGAGCGTCTGCGTGCATACCAAGAACAAGTCAGCCCTGCCCCAGGAGCCCCCAAGGGCCCTGCTGCCCCCTCCATCCTGCCCAAGGCTGGGGAGGTGGTGGTCGCCTTCCCAGCTGCCCGGCTAAGCACGGGGCCTGCCCTGGTGGCAGCAGGCCTGGCCCCAGCTGAGGTGGTGGTGGCCACGGTGACCAGTAACGGAGTGGTGAAATTTGGCAGCACGGGCTCTACACCCCCTGTGTCTCCCACCCCCTCAGAGCGTTCACTGCTCAGCACAGGCGATGAGAATTCCACACCCGGGGACACCTTTGGTGAGATGGTGACATCGCCACTGACCCAGCTCACCCTGCAGGCCTCGCCATTACAGATCCTTGTGAAGGAGGAGGGCCCCCGGGCCGGATCCTGCTGCCTGAGCCCTGGGGTACGGGCCGAGCTCGAGGGGCGTGACAAGGACCAGATGCTGCAGGAAAAGGACAAGCAAATCGAAGAGCTGACCCGCATGCTGCGCCAGAAACAGCAGCTCGTGGAGTGGCTGAGGTTGCAGCTGGAGCAAGAGAAGCGGGCCCAGCAGCCGGCCCCGGCCCCGGCCCCCCTTGGCACCCCAGTCAAGCGGGAAAACAGCTTCTCCAGCTGCCAGCTGAGCCGGCAGCCCCCGGATCCTGCTCACCCCTTCAGCCCCAGCCTGGCGGCTCCCACTGCCCGCCACGCAGACACTCGTCCCCTGGTGCCCCCGGCCGTGGTAGTGAAGCAGGAAGCCACGCTGCCGGAGCCTGAGCCAGCCCCCGCTCCCCAGCTGCTTCTGGGCTCTCAGGGCCCCAGCCTCATCAAAGGGGTCACGCCTCCCACCCTCATCACTGACTCCACAGGGACCCACCTTGTCCTCACCGTGACCAATAAGAATGCAGACGGCCCCAGCCTGGCCAGCGGGAGCCCCGAGCAGGTACCTGGGTGTGGGAGTGGCTGGGGCCACGGGAGAGCGTGAGGAAACTAAGGGTGACAGTCCCGTTTACCAGACACCCCCACGGCTGGGCAGGTTGTGCTCGCTTCCTTTAAACTTCCACTCAGTCCTCTGAAACGAGGGATGGCCATCCCCATGTCACCGAGGGGAGGTACTAGGACTTGGGAAGATTAAGGGAGCTGCCAAAGACTCCACAGCCCTGAGGGCAGAGCCGTCAGGGACCGCCAGTCTCTGTATCTGGGCGGAGGGCCCCCCTGAGCAGCCTGAACCCAGGCTTGCCTCTGCTCCATGGGGGTGGGACAGGCCCCAGTAAGGGTCGGGGAAGCCCCCTACCTGGGAGAGGCCAGCCATGCCCCCCACCCCCAAGCCATCATTGGCAGCTGGCTCCCTGCTGGTGCCACCCTCACAGCCCAGACCTCCAGCCAGCCTGGTCCACAGGTGAGGCTGCTTTAGGCTTTGTGTGACCTCTCAGCCCTGCAGAGCTCGGGGTTGGAGGAGGGGACAGTGGACAGTGACAGGAACCGGGCCCCTCAGGATGGGAGGCCAGGGCCCCTGAGCAGCCTCCAGCAGAAAGGGAGGAGACGGGAATTAGCCCAGAGCCCCACCCTCTGCAGTGTCAGAGGTCAGGTAGGGCCTCCTCCATCCCCTATCCCTTCTTCCCCAATGGCTTCTGTGCAAGCTTCCTAAAAGCCAATGCAGCAGCAGGTTGTCCTGTGTCCCAGAAGGTAGGTTCCTCCTGCCTTGCCTTCCTGGAATGTGCTGGGCCCCGGGCCTGCTTCCCTCATCCCAACCACCGGTTCTCTCACCATTCTGTCCAGCCCTTGTCCCAGCCTGGTTCTCCAGCCCCTGGCCCACCAGCCCAGATGGACCTAGAGCACCCATCACAGCCCCTCTTTGGGACCCCTACTTCTATGCTGAAGAAGGAGCCACCTGGCTATGAGGAAGCCGTGAGCCAGCAGCCCAGACAGCAGGTGAAGAAGGTAGACCGGGGCCCGGCCAGGGTGGGCGTCTGCCTAGGCTGCTGGGCTGGACATCAGTCCCCCCGACCAAGCCAACTGGAAGATAGGGGCAGAGGAGGCCTTGCAGGGCCAGGGAGGTGGGGGGGTGCTGTGTGGATGGAGGGGGCATTATGGGCAGACTGGCCAGAGCCTGGCCTGACAGAGGAGTGAGCTCTGGGAGCCTGAGCCCAGGCCGGTGGGCTCTGCAGGTCTGGCTGCCAACTCAAGGGTGGAAGGAAGGGGCTCTGCCCTGAGCTAGGCTGGAGGCCGCCTCCTGCTCTAGATTTTCATTCCCCACCCCCCCCACCCCCATTATTTGTCCTACAGGAGAATGGTTCCTCCAGCCAGCAGATGGATGACCTGTTTGACATTCTTATTCAGAGTGGAGGTAAAGCCCAGACTCCTGAGCTGACCCCCCGCCCCCCCGCCAGCCTCCTCCTTGCCCCATAGGTTGTGTTCAGCCCTGGGGCGCTTGCTTGACTGATATTTGTTTCGTTATGGAACACTTAAGGGGCTGACGGGCCTTGTAGTTTGGATGTAGCAACAGCGGAGACATACACCGTCTCCAGGGCTTGGACAAGGACACCGGTCAGGGGTGCAGCCCTCAAGCAGTGATTGCTTTACCCAGCGCCCATTGCGTGGTGGGCACTGTCACCGCGGCCTGGGGTGCAGTGATGAACGAAACAGAGATGTTCACCTTTGCAGTGTCTAGTGTGAGGAGATGAATGAATAGTAGACAGGTAGATTGTATCATGTGGGAGGAGTAAATATTACGGAAAGCTGGGGAGGCTCTCAGGTGTGTGGGGGCATTTGGGTTGACCTTGTTGGGCTCCCTGGGGGGCACCTGTGGGACCGGATGTGCTGGAGGGGCGGTGTGGGCACAGGAGGGAGAGGAGTCGCAGATCGGGGCAGATCATGAGGCCTCATGGGTGCATGGCGGAAGGGCTCGGACTCTGGGTGAAGTTGAGTGGAGGGTTGTTCCAGCTGGAAGGGCAGGAGCTGGGAGGCCGCTGTGGGAGTCCAGGGGGCCTGGGCCAGCCTGTAGCAGGGAGGCGGAGAAGGACCCGAGTCTCGGTGTATTTTAGAGAGCCAGTCGATTTCCTTATGGATTGGGCATGTGGTGTGGCGAGACAATAGGACGACAGCCATGGATGTTACCAAGGGTTCGGCCTGAGTGACCCGGATGCAGCTGCAAGACTGCCAGGGGGAGCCCCAGGGGGTGCATTGGGGATGTGTTGGGGATGCGTCCGTGCAGCCTCAGGCTGGTATGTCCTGAGACAGCCAAGCAGGGGCATCACGTGAAGGCAGGCAGGGGATTGATTGTTGGCATCTAGATGGACATTTGGAGGTTGGGGAGGGTGCCCTCAAGACCATGAAGTCCTAAAGTCCAGGGCTGTCACTGGGCGGCCAGGGGAGACAGTGACCAAGATCTGGTCACGGGATTAGCACTGTGACTGGCCGCTGGTGACCTCAGCCAGGGTGCTGCAGTGGGGCCATGGGCAAGGGCCCCGGGGGTGTAGGAGCCAGCAAGTCCGGATAGCTCTCTGCAGAGGGTTTCCTGCAAAGCGAGCAAGGAGCCAGCCTGTTTGCACGCTGGTGGCGGAGGTCCCTGGGTGCGGGGGGGCTCAGCGTCAGGTAGGAGCCAGGGCATTTCCCTGATGGCAGCAGCCAAGGCGGCAGGGTGTGTGGAAGTTCTCTGAGCGCTTTACTGATGGTGGTAGGGAGAGGGTTAGCAAGATGGTACAGGTTAAGTGTCCCGCTTGGGCTGTCGTACGTAATGGTGCTGTGAGCGCTGGCGCACTCGCATGTGCTGGGATCCCTGCACGTCTTCCACAGCGGCGGCACCGTGGTGGTTCCCACCAGCCATGCACAAGGGCTCCCATCTCTCTACAGCCTCACCGACACTTATTACTAGCCATCCTACTGAGTGTGAGGTGGTGTTCCTTAGTGGGTTTGATTTGCACTTCCCTAAAGACTAATGAGGTTGAGCATCTTCTCTTGTCCTTACGGGTCATTTGCAGATCTTTTATTGGAGAAATGGTGGAGTCCTTTGCCCTTTTTCCTGTTGGGTTTTGTTAAGTTGGAGCTCTTTAGTCTGGATGTGAACCATCAGATCCAAGGTGTGCGGACATTTCCTCCCACTCTGTGGGTTGTCTTTGCTCTTGATGGTGTCCTTTGGTGCACAAAACTTAAAAATTTTTATACGATCTAGTTAATGTATTTTTATTTTTGTTGTCTGTGTTTTTGGTGCAACCGAGAAATCATTACTGAATCCAGTGAAGATGTCCCCGTTTTCCTCTAAGGGTTCTGTGGTTTCAGCTCCCAAATTTAGGTCTTTGACCTATTTGGAGTTAACTTTTTGTATGTGGTGTAAAGTAGGGCCAGCCTCAGGTCCTTTTCAGGCCTGGTTCCTGACATCCATTCACTTTGTTGTTTGCCAGAAATCTCAGCGGATTTCAAGGAGCCACCACCTTCCCTACCAGAGAAAGAGAAGCCCCCCTCGATGGCAACTTGCGGGTCACCCCTGGCCACGCCGTCCCCGCCTTCTGCTGAGCTCCCCCAGGCGCCGCCACCTCCCTCGGGCTCTCCCGTCCTCCCTGGGCGCCTAGAGGACTTCCTGGAGAGCAGCACAGGACTGCCCCTGCTGACAGGCGGGCATGAGGGGCCAGAACCCCTGTCCCTCATCGATGACCTCCACAGCCAGATGCTGAGCAGCTCTGCCATCCTGGACCACCCCCCCTCACCCATGGACACCTCGGAATTGCACTTTGCCCCTGAGCCCAGCGGTGTGGGCCTGGACCTGGCTGATGGCCACCTGGACAGCATGGACTGGCTGGAGCTGTCATCGGGTGGCCCCGTGCTCAGCCTGGCCCCGCTCGGCACCACCGCGCCCAGCCTCTTCTCCACGGACTTCCTCGACGGTCACGACTTGCAGCTCCACTGGGATTCCTGCTTGTAGCTCTCGGGCTGCAGGGATGGGACGGGAGGGGCTGGAAGCTGGGGAGCTCCGGGAACTCTTGGGAGCTCCGCGCGCTCGACCTGATCCCGCCTCCGTGTGGTCCTGAGTCCTGACAATCACAGGCCCTGCTTTCCCCTCCCTGGGAGGCTGGAGCAGGCCATGTCGCCACCTGGCTCCAGGCTCACCAAGGAGAGAAGCCGCCCAGGAGCAGCTTTGGTCTCAGCCTAGAGTTCAGGAGGCCTGGACAGGCCAGGGCCGTTCTATTGACCTCCTTTTGTGAGGTCGGAGGTGCAGTCTGGCTGCAGTTTGCTCAGGCAGGCGAGGCCTGGGGTGGATCTCCTTCTCTCCTTCCCTCCCCATCCCCCCACCCCCGTGAGGGACGAAACTAGCTGGGCCTCTACCTCCCCGTTCCCCGTGATGCCAACCCCAGGATCCCAGGCTTCCTGGGAGAGGAGCCCCTTGCCATTTTAGTGTCTTGGTGTTGTGTAACCTTTAGTGGCTGGTGGCAAATGGTTTCTGTACAGGTGTATATCTCTATTCTATATCGCCATACATATGTATACATCTATTTTTGGGGGCTGGGAGGTGGATTAGCGCTCCTTCCCATCCTGTGCACAATATAGAAGGGCCTGGAGACCACCGCTCCTGGGGTTGGATGCAGCTCACCTCAGCCCCATCACGCGTGTTTGACATGTAGACACCCTGCCACAGCCTGTGTCCTGCTTCGTACTAGTGCCACGAGGGCAGAGGTGCTTCCCGGCCCCCCGCCCCCCACATTCCGTCCCGCTGCCTCACTGCAGCTGCGGTGGCCCTGGGACAGGAGGGGTGTCAGCCCTCAAGCTGTAGCCGCCTCTTGCCCTGGGGCCCAGCCTCCCTTCTGGCCTGTCACTATTGTTAACAGGGAATTAGGGATGGAGTCACCAAACCAGTGCTGGGACAGAGGTCGGGAAGCTGTGTGGACTTTTTAAAATAAAAACAAAAATACTGATTTTGGTCCATTTTTGTTCAGTCCATGGAAGAGGCGGGTGGTAGGGCTGGGTCCTAGGCTTTCTAGACCATCCAGAAAGGACAGAACCTTGGACATACAGCTCTATGGCCCTGGCTGGACAGAAGACAGGAGGTGCTTTCCTAAGGACACGATTTATTGACAAGCCAAAGAGCCTGTGGCCACCCCCCTCCCCTTCCTGAGCACAAACGGATAGAACAGAGATGGTGTGCTCCACCTCCTCACAAGGTTTTGGTTGGTACTAACTGAAATTGGGGCCCGGGCAGAGCACTCCCCTGGGCACTGGGAGAAGCCGGCTCAGCCCCACCTTCTGCTTCTGCCGCCCACTGTCCTCTAGTGACATCCTGGGCGTTCCAGGTGGTGTCCCCGTTCACCGTGCCATGGGGCCTGGCCAGAGCTCCAGTGTCGCTTTTCCTTGACCGCCCCCCACAGCTTGGAAGGGGCCCGGGCCACCTCAGACCCCATCTCCAAGCAGGCCCAAGCCTGGCCAGGACTGTGCTCTTCTTGCTTGAGGAACGGGCTGCTCGGTAGTCAGCAGGTCGGGGGAGGCCTGGGCTTGACGGGGCCGCTGGAGGCAGAGCATCACCCGTCTATGTCCCAGCTGAACAGGTGGTGCTTCACTAGCATGTCCTGAACACCCTCCTTCAGTGGCTTCTTCTCCTCCTGCACAGGGGGACAGCCTCTGTCAGGGGCAGCACAGCGGGGGCGGGGGGTGTGCAGGATCACACGGCAAGGAAGCCCGAGGTGGCAGGGGCCAGAGCGGCTCGTGGACTGCGTGATGCTGACACTCGGGGTTCCCACAGGCCCTGCCTGAGCCACCCACGAGGTGTCTGGGGTGGCCTGCCCCACCCCAGGGCGGGCCGCAGGGCCGAGAGCCAAGCCCAACCACGCACCTCTCTCTTCACAGGAAGTTCCCAGTCCTGGGAGAGGCTGAAGGCGAAGCAGCAGAGGACGCTGGAGGTGAGGAAGGGAGCGGTCAACTCTGCCCGCACCGACCCCACCCCGGGCCCATGGGGCAGGGGACTCACCGGAGCTCACATTTGATCTGGACCCAGCCAGGGCTGCGCAGGAAGGACCAGGGCTGGTACCACTTCTCCACAGTAGGCAGGCTGGAGCAGAGCACCTCAAGCCACAGGTGCAAGACCTGCTCGCTGGGGACAGGTGGGAAAGAGTGGGCTGCCCTACCCCCCAGCGCCTCCCCCCCCCCCACTGGGTGACCGCACCTTCGCTCTCAGCCAGTGTCTGCACAGCGGCCTAGCTCCGGCTCCTCCCCCACTGGGAGGCACTCGGGCCCACTGTCCCCACGGCCCCAGCTCTTTCCTCTCTGTGTCTTGAGACTCGGCTACCACCTGCTGCAGCCAGGGGCCTTAGCCCTGCTGGTCAGTCCAGGAGGGAAGCCCACAGCCATGTTAGGAGCTAGTCTCCTGGAGGCTGTCCCCTCCACTGGGTGGCAAATGCAGAAAGCAGACTCACGCTGGCCCAGGTCTGGGCCTCACAGATGCCCAAGCTCCCTTCGAGCCGGCGCCCCCTCCCTAGTTGTGGTGGCATCATTCCTGGTGACCCCCCTCACCCGGCACCTTGCTAAAATCTCTGCCTCACAAAACCCGCGAGTGCCTTCCCCAGCCCACAGAACGATGGCCGGTCTTGTACTGGAGGAAGGCTTTTGGGAGTCACCCTTGCCGCCTTGTCTGTCCAGGTCCCAGGCCCAGAAGGCTCAGCTCACGGGCACCCCGCTGCCCCACAGAGCCACAGCCCAGGCTACCACCCATCTGGACTGTCACTGGCCCACAGTGGGCAGAGATACTCACTTGAGCCCCACGCAGATGAGGGACCGGAGCTTGACGTCCATTTGTGCGTGTGCAGCATCATGGGTCACGTTCACGGACTGCACAGCCTGGGAGGGCCCAGTTGTCACTCAGGGGGCTCCAGCTGCCAACCCAGGAGGCCTGCCCCACCCCCCACCCCGCTTACCCGGTAGAGCAGCTCCTCCGGGGTCAGGACTTTGCCATCCTCGTCCAACCTGAGGGAGGGATCAAAGCTGCCAGTGCTGCCCTAGTAAGCGCGGCTCAGGCTGTGCCCCCCCCCGCCCCACGGGGACAGCCAGCAGGACGCGGGGCGTGGGGTTGGGGCCTGTTACCTGTACGTCTTACACAGCACCAGGCGCGAGTACACGGAGTCAAAGTCTCTCTCTACCTCCCGGCCTGCTGCCTGGGGGTCAAGGTGAGTGTAAGGGATGACAGGGAAGGTACCGGGTCAAAGCCACGGGGTCCAACTGCGCGCATACTGTCACCCCGTGAGCTCCTGCGTCAGCTCTACAGGGCCCGGAAGCTCAAGGAAAAGGATGGTGGGGGACGTGGGTCCAGCCATCGACTTACCTCCTCGATAAACAACCATGGGTGGCAGGCGCCCCCAAGCAGGGAGGGCTTCTTCAGCCCATGTTCAAACAGGGCCTTGAGAGCCGGGCAGAGGGTCCCTCGAACGAGGTCCGTGACCCCCTCTGTCACAGTGTCGTCCCCCGCGATGGAGTACTGATGGTGGGGGACAGAGTCTGAGAGGTGCCGGCCGTGCCCTCCCCGCCCCCACTGCCACTGCCACAAGCCAGCGGGTGCCGAGGGCAGGCGGCAGCAGCTCCCAGGGGCAGCCGTGCCTTGTGCTCCCCCTTACCTCTTTACTCCGTTCGTCCAGGACTTCCACAAACTTGGCTGGAAACCAGCCTGTGGGAGAAGCAGGGCCCCGTGAGGAGCGGGGGCGGGGGCCGGCGTCCCCACACCTCCCGCCGGTAAGGGCGTAAGGCCCGTGTGTTGGCAGGTTGCCGGCTGAGCAGGCCCAGCTCCCGAGGCCAGAGGGCTCCCGGGTGCCCGGCCCGGCCCACCCCTCCGCCGGATGGAGGCCTCACCTCTCAGGCCGTTCAGCTCCCCGACCCAGCAGTGCTCGTCCTTCTGGGAGATGATCTGCATGGTCCGCCGGAGAGGAGGAAGCAGAGCTTTGGCTGCCCAGGCCCTGTGCCTAACGCCGGGCGGTGGGGGGGGGGGGGACCGCCCAGGGGTGCCCGCTCCGAGCCCCACGCACCGTGATGATGTCGTTCCTGCGGAAGCCCAGCTCGTCGTCGTCATGCCGCTCGAAGTCCAGCAGGGCCTTGGCCCGGCGCCGGTGGCCACGTGAGCACGCCACGTAGTTCTCGTGGTCCCGCTGGTGGCTCTCCATGCTGTAGTCCGGGCTCAGCTCCTGCCCGAGGGGCAGAAAGGCCCGCTCGAGGGGGGGGAGGCGCCTCCTCGCCAGGGCTTTGGTGCCTCACGACGAGGCTGGGGAGCCAGGGCCCCCAGACTGAGCCCACAACTCACCACGCTACAGTTTTTGGGGTCTGTGCACTGGAAATGGCGTGCGACGCGCAGGATGGCTTCCCGGAGGTCAGCTACCAGTTCTGTCTGCTTGATGTTCTTGGCCTTGAGCGCCTCCAGGTCGTCCTCCCCTGGGAGCCCCAGAAAACTATGGCAGCCACGGCCCCCTCCAGCCCCCCAGGAAGCTGAGGGTCCACGCCGGGGTCTGAGGACGGACTCCCCCTCCCCCCACCCCGGTCTCCATCCCCACCCCACCAGCCGGGGCAGGGAGCGCCGTGAGCCGGGACCCCCTGGCAGGGAAGGGGCCACTGAACCCAGCCTGGCACCGGCTGCCACAGCAGTTCTCACCAAAGAGCAGGGAGGTGATGCCAGACTTCCTCCGCTGGGTCCTGCGACGCACGACCTGCAGGCAGGGAGCGGGTCAGTGGCGGCCAGGTGGGGTGGTGGGCGCCCCAGCACTGGAGGAAGCTAAGAGAGCTCCTCCTGGGGCCAGCATCTCATGCCAACTCCTCTGAAATGGCCTCTGCGGCCGGCTCTGAGCATCGGAAATGTGGTTGGTTCAAAGCCGGGTGTGTCCTACACCCACACAGGGCAGGTCACAGCGGAGATGCACAGAAGGCCAGGGCAGCGGGTCCTCCGAGGCACAGCTGTGGTCTGACTGGGCCCGGGGCCGGGCCAGGGAGGGGGCAGCGGAGCAAGGAAGGGCTGGAGGGTTCCCTGCAGCCCCTCTCACTTTGGGCTTCCTCGGGGAGCCCCCACCCTCTGGGTGAGGTGGGGACTCCTCCCTCATGGGCCCACCTGCGAGAGGTTGGTGGTGGCACTGGTCCCCAGGAGCTGGCCCTGGTCTGCAATGAGGTAGGCCAGGTGCTTGCGGCGCTGTGTCTCCACAGCCACGTCCGTGAGGGAGCCGGCCAGCCGCATGGCCTCCCCCAGCAGCAGCTCCGCGTCGGCGATCTGTGAAGGTATGTCTGACAGCGTGTTGAAGATGGAGGCCGAGTTCTCGGACTGGATCAGCTCCTCCTCCTGGGCCATGCGAGGCAAGGAGTAGGGGGAGGGGGCATCACTGCCAAACGCCAGGCCTGCAAGCGGACCCTGATCACCGTCCTCGGGCACTTGTGACCTCCCTGGATGAGCAAGCCGAGCACAAGGAGTCCCCGGCCCCAGGGGGCCCCACCCCACCGTGGGCCTCTGAGGAGGGGCCGGTGGTCAGGCCACACGATGCTGAAGGTGGAACCCCATGGCAGCCCCCCAGGGGAGGGGCCCCAGGTGGGACAGGGCCCCAGCAGACCTTGAGCCGCAGCATGCCCAGCGTGGTCTGGAACAGCACCAGGGAGCCCTCGTAGAAAAACAGGTCCCAGAGGCGCAGCAGCAGCTTGATGTGCACCACGCTGGCGAAGGCCGTGAGGAACCAGTGCAGCGTGATGAGGGACAGCTCTGCAGATACAGACCGGAGCCTTTGGGGCCGGAACTAGGGACAGCCCACATGGCGTAGCCTGAAAGAGGGGGCCTGGGGAGAAGGGGGAGTGTCGCTCCCAAAGAGCAAGTGGCCTCGCCTGCTCCAGGAGGAGGGAGGAGACAGGCCATCAGGGAACATCAGGGAACAGGAGCACCACCAAGACCGCGTGTGCTGCTGATTCAGGGCTTGGCCCCTGTCAGGTGAGCTCCTTCCTCCCAACACAGCTGCCCTGGCCCCTGCTGGGTCCGGAGGCCTCAGACCTGCAGCATCGGAGCCGGAGTCGCAGGACCTCCCTGACCCCAAAGAAGAGGGTGGGTGCTGGCCCCCTCACCAATGTCATGCTCCTGGAGCAGCTTGTCCAAACGGGGCAGGTACTGGACGATGAGGTGGCGCAGGACCCGCTGGTCTGTCTGGACGCCCAGCAGAGTGGTGCTGAAGTAGGAGGCAGGGAGCAGGTCCTCGATGATGGCGCACATCATCCAGAAAGCATCCTCCTCCTCTAGGAACAGCAGGAGGCAGGCAGCCACCTGGCCAGGGCAGGGGGACAGGGGGCCTGTACCCAGGTTTCCATGTGAATTAGAAGAGGTACCCCCCCGCCCCCCGCCCCGCAGGTCACCTCATAGACCGCATGCTCTCCTTAGGGGTGTAACCAACATATATGGCAGGCCCAGCCCTCCGGGGGGGTTCCCACCCCTCGCCCCGCCCCCCATCCTACTGCATCTTCTGGGCTGGGCTCACCATGCCTGTGCCCTGGCAGTAGCCGATCTCTGGGTAGAGCCAGGCCAGGGCGCGGAGAACCCTGCGCAGGCGGGGCACCCCGACGCTGCCCACGTTGGCGAAGCAGGCGTTGCTGGGCATGGTACGGAGCAGGTCCTTCTCAATCTGCCAGCAGCCCACCCACAACAAGCCCCCGTGAGACGCAGCCGCACGCCTGGAGGCCCACACCACCCTCCACCCTGGTGACACCTGAGGCACCCCTGTGAGGGAAGCTGGGGGGCCCCTGTGTGGGACAAACCCCAGGCAGGTGTTTCACCCAGGAATGAGCATTCCTAATGCTCTGGGTCAAAGTTTACCCTCCTTCCTTCAGGACTAGAGCTCAGCTGCTATGTAGCTGATTCCATCTGATTCACCGGGGAATTTAGAAAAATAAACTTACAGATCCCTGAGCCTCAAGCCAGAGCTACAGAATTTAGAATCTCTGGAATGAGGCCTGGAAATCTGTATTTAAAATCTCCAGGTAATGTGCTCCCCCAGGTTTGGTGATCCTTTTGACAACTGTCCCTGCTGCCTACAGAGGACCCGGGGAGCGCAGGCTTGTTCCAGACATGTGTCTGAGTGTAAGGGCTACCACACGGCCACCTGCTCTCCCGGGCCACCCCTGTCAAGGAGAGACCAACAAGGGCGGCTTCCTGTAACCCAGGCAGCTCACTGCCCTCCTGCAGGCCCACACACGGTTTCTGACCAGAAAGTGCTTTCTGAAGGGCCCCCGGTGCTGGCCCAGCCTCACCTGTTTGGCAGCAATGGTCTCATCATTGGAGCTGTTCTTCACCACCTCTCGGTAGGACAGCTCAGAATTCCTCTTCTTCTGCAGGGCCCCGGAGAGCCGCATCCACAGCTGCAGGAGGGAGCCGCCATGAGCTTTCAGTGGGACGCCTGAACCCTCCCCCTCTGCGCTGCGGCCCCTCCCTCGCAGCTTCACCTGTGGCCTCATGCTGTGTGGGATGCCGGCCAGCACCAGGGAGCGAAGCTTCTCCGAGCGGGGCAGAGAGACAGCAATCTTGTCCCAGGTGAGATCCCCCACGTCGTGGTTATGGGTGAACTCCAGGTGGGCCTGCCACCGCAGCCTCTGTGGAGGGTCCTCCAACAGAGACACGCCTGGCAGCCTGCTGCAGCTGGGGTTGGCACCGTCTGCCACGAGAGAGCCGGGAGACGCAGTGGTCAGCAGGGGCAGGCGTGGCCTTTAGGTCCGGCGCCCAGATCTCACCACTGAAATACAGAGCCACCTCTGCAACAGCTTCCCCTGGCTCCAGCCGCACATCCCGCAGACATACCAACGAGCAAACGCAAGCTCTTGAGTTTCTGCCCCAAACCTGCCCCTGCCCAGTCCCTCCCAGGTCCACAGACCCACCTCCACTCTCCAGACACTGAGAAGGCCCTCCAGCTCCCCCTCCACTTGTCCCCCACATTCAGCCCCCAGGCAAGCCCTGTTGGCAGATCTCACCGCTCTTATCACCTCCCACTGCGGCCCTTGACCAAGCCATCAGCTCCCACCGGGGTCACCGTACAGCCATCTCACTCGCTTGTTTGCACCCCTGCCCCTCAAAGGCATTCACCCAGCAGTAGCAGGGCCCCATCTCAGACACGAGTCAGACCACGTCACTCGGCTCACTCCGCCAAGAGGCCTGACCAGGCTCCGTGACTGCGCCCTCTCATCCGGGCACCTCCGCCCTCATCACCTACTGCTCTCCTATTGCTCCCTCGGCTCCAGCTACTCCTCACCAAATCCCCTCCCCCCTCAGGGCCTCTGCCTGGATTACTCCCTTCCGCCAGCTGTGCTCACTGCCTCGCTTCCTCCTAGTCTCCATCCAAATGTCTCCCCTTTGAGAGGCCTTCCCCTTTGGTCACCTTGCACACAGTCCACCTCCCCTCTTCTCCATAGCTCCAAATTTTTTCATAGCTCTTCTTGCTCCCGGCATGTATTTGTTTGTTCATAGCCTGGTAATTCCAGAAGGCCAAGACCACTTTCAGGTTTGTTCAAGGCACTGGGGATGCAGCAGTGGAGAGCGGACAACCCACAGACAGCCCCTGAAATGCTGGCGTGAACTCCGACAGTGCTCTTGTGACCACCAGGCAACATCAGGGCACATGAGCCTCACACAGATCGTCCTCCTTACCCATGCAAAAGCCATGTCCGCAGCCTCAGCTTTGCAAAACTTCACCTTAAGTGAATTTACATGCAGTAAAATGCACAAATTTTAAGTGTACACTTTGGTGAATATCAGTAAATAAATGTCTAAATGTCATCCCCACCAAGACAGAATATTTCGGAGCACCTGGGTGGCTCAGTTGGTTAAGTGACTGCCTTCGGCTCAGGTCATGATCCTGGAGTCCCGGGATCGAGTCCCACATCGGGCTCCCTGCTCAGCGGGGAGTCTGCTTCTCCCTCTGACTGCCCCCCCCACCATGCTTGCTCGCTCTCTCAAATAAATAAAATCTTAAAAAAAAAGGATAGAGAATATTTCCATTATGCTAGAAAGTTCCCTCTGTTCCTCACAGGCCCAGCTTTTTAACTTCCAAGTATCTGCCTGCAAACCAGGGAGCAAGGAAAACTTACATCAGAACTGGAATATGAGTGACCTGAAGAGGACCAGTTTCAGCCCATTAAAATCTTCTAGTCATAGTTACATCCTGGTGACAGGCTGTCCTGGGTTCGGGCAGACAGCTTTCCCAACAGCCCACTTGGAAACCAGCAGGTGTATTTAGAGTAGAAAACAATGGAAATGGCCTGGAGGCCCACTTACAGAAGAGTGGTTACAAAATATTATGATCAATCCCTTATAAAGGCATATTATGCAGCCACTGATAAATATGCTTTTAAAGAGGTCTTAACTGACAGAAGAAATGCTCATGGTAAATAATGTTAAGAGATATAAGAGCAATATAAAAATATATAGATAACATGTTAGTTATGAAAAATACACACACACACGTACACACAGAGCCAGGAAAAGAACAAGCTGAAATGTCAGCAATTATCTTTAGGTTGTGGGATTATGGATTAATTTGTTTTAATCTTTATACTTCTCTGTATTTTTCGACTTCACTACAATAAAATTATTGCTATTATCATATGAAGATCACTAAAATTAACCTAAATTTTGAAGAAATCAGAGGTTTCCGTATACTGAGAACTGCCTCTGAGGGTGATACTGTTACGTCAGTTCAGGAGCAGGTGAAACCCCCCGAGCCCAGGTCATAGCGGCACAATGGAGAGTTTCTGGAGCTGGAGTCCTCCCCACAGACAGCAGCAAGATTACACACCAGGGGCTCCAGCTTACCTTCCTTGTCCACGCGGAAACCAAACTCATCGTAGCAGAACTCTGGTTGTTCCCCTGACTCTTCCTTCTAGAACCAGGATTAGGAAAAGTCAGTTGTGTGGCCACCAATCTGGGACCACAGATTCTGGAAGATGCCACCCACATTGCTGCCTGCTGAAATTCCAATGGCCTTCAAGACTCAGATCAAAGGCCACCCCTTCCTTGAAGCTTCTGTGGTCATCCCTCAGCCAAAGCGGCCACCACCTTCTCGAACTGGCCCAGCATTTTCCTTGTTCTCCTCAGAGGTCAAAGATAATAAGATCAAGGCAAGAAACAGATTTTACGCATTTCTGTGTCTTGATAATACTGAGCACACAGTGCCAAATACTTTTCCTCCAACCTCATGACCAATTCCCAGAGGACGTGGAGCTAAGATGCCCACTCTGATGGTGGCTTCTGAGCCCAAGTGAACACAGTGGGGCGGCTACCCACCCCCAGGAAGTCTAAAGCAGTGGGTTCCCTTTGGCGCTAAAGCCTGGGCACAAAGCTGTACCTGCGTGTACTTGGCCAAGATCTCCTGGGGCCACATGCTCGGAGTCAGGGCTGAGAAGGGGCCACTGGCAGAAGGTATGTGGTTTCCTAAAATCAAGGAGGACCAGGAATAGGAAATTAAGAAAATGCAGAGCATTCAGGGGCAAAATTCAAGGTGGGACATCCCCCACTCCCCCCAAAAAGGGCCTCAGCAGAAAAGGGACTGCACCATTGCAAGTGGGGCGGATGGGGGAGGGGAGGGGACCTAAAAACGAGCAACGTTCTGGAGGAAGGAAAAGAAAAAAAGCAGCATGTTACAAAACATAACCAAATCTCATCTCCTTGCTTCTTCCCCCATCCAGTGTGAGGATTTGCAGGCTGGAGGGAGGGAGTCACAGAACCTGGAGATCTGAGCCATGAAAAGTCGCGGCAGCCCTGGCGTCCCGGGAGGGGGGGCCTCCTTCTCCAACTCTCATCCCCAAAGGTCTGTCCTGCTGCCGCCCCACCGGATGGGAGGGTGAGACCCTCCCCTCTTTCAGACAGCCTTGCACCCATTTCCAGCCCACCTGCTCCCAATGTCCCACCTGACATTGTGTGGAGAGGCGGGGCAAGTCTTCTGCCAATCCACACTTAGAAGGCTTCCTAGCCTATTATTTTACAGCTGGAAAGGCTCCTCAGGCTTCATCTGGTCCAGAAACATCTGCCCTGGTAGGAGAGCGGAGGGGAAAGTCATTATAATGCAGCCCCTCTCCTGGGAGTAGTGTGACTTTGCTGGCCAAGGGGCAGTGAGAAGGAAAAGCCACACTTGAAAGAAACGCCTCCTATTCTGAACATTTCGTCTGGGAGAGGATACGTGAAACACTCTGAAGAAGCTACAAAACTGATGTTAACAGCTCTGTAAGCCAAGGGGAGTGCCCACTCAGTTCTATTATTAAAGGAGAGAATCGTCCATACAGGCTTCCTGATGCCCTAGGCTCAGGCAAATGCAATGCTTCTTTAAAAGGAAAAAAAAACAGCCAAACCTCCGTAAGTAGGTTTCCCTGAGCTAGAATCTTTGAGGAACCATTTAGCAGAATACAACTTAGCCTCTGAGTCAATATCTCGAATTCCCCTCAACACTGACATTTTCCCCTTCACCAAACCATCCCGCTCTAACCACATTCTCCACTAGCCTTATTGCTGGGAAACCAGGAGGTCGCAATCTAATCCAGATCTCTCCTGTTGCCACTGAAATTCCTGCCTCCCTCCCTTTTTTTGTCCTCTCAAAAAATGAGGACTCAACAAAAAGACAAAATGGGCAAAAGATCTGCATATACATTTCTCCAAAGAGATATAAATGGCCAATGAGCAGGTAAAAAGATTATTCATCAGGGAAATAAATGCAAACTGAACCCTCAGTGAGGTACCATTTCACGCCCACTAAGATGGCCATAATCAAAAAGACCGTAAGTGTGGACAAGGACATGGAGAAAGTAGAACGCTTATATTGCTGGTGGTGTGTGAAATATAAAATGGAGAAGCTGCTGTTGAGAACAGTCTGGCAGTTTGTCAAAAAGGTAAACATGGGAGTTCCCATATGACCCAGTAATTCCACTCCTGCAGTTACTCACCCAGGAGGAATGAAAGCATGTCCATCCACCCAGAAACTTATACACGATGTTCATAGCAGCGTTATTCATTTTAGCCAAAAAGGAGAAACAAGCCAACTGATGAGTGGATATACAAAATGTCTGGACCATCCATACAGTGGAACGTTATTCAGCCGTAAACAGGAGCGAAGTACTGATACATGTGGCTCTATCAATGGACCCTGAGAACGTTATGCTCAGTGATAGACGCCACTCACAAGAGGGTGAATACTGTATGATTCCATTTAAGTGAAATGTCCAAAAGAGGCAAATCCATGGGTAGAAAGTAGGCTAGTGGCTGCCAAGAGTTGGGGGAGATGGGACTGCAGAGTGACCACTAATAGGGTTTCCATTTGGGGGAGATGAAAAATGTTCTAGAATGGGATGGTGGTGATAGTTGCACAACAGCATGAAATACTAAAACCACTGAACTGCACACTTTAAATAAAAATGGTGAATTTTATAGCATGTGAATTATGGCTATAATTTAAAAAGGAAAAAGCCATCAATCGGGGTGTCCTCTAACTCTCTAACTTCTCATTTCTAACCTGTTCCTAGTAGATCTAGAAAGAATCTGTTACTACCTGAGCTTCAACAGAAATGCAGTTTTTGGAGCAGTTTCCTCAGCTTTTTCTGAATAGTTGGAAATTCCAACTATGGAATGAAAGGTTTAGACTCCGTGAAAGAAACAAGAGGTAGCAATAAGGCAATGTGGCTGAAATATTTTAGGACAAGCTGCCTTCCAGTTTTTGAAATCATGTTCCTCCAGATCCGGACCTAAAGAAACGTCTTCTCCTGCCATTTTTCAGGGGGTTGCTGCTGTTCTGGCCCACAGCAGTGCCTCACCTCCACGCCCTCTGCCACAGAACTCTGGTAGACCAGAAGGGTCAGGTGATGACAAGGAAGCAAAAAAGGAAAATCAAAGGGAGCTTTGGGAAAACATCACCCTATGGACCCTTAACCTGAGCATATGTTCATAGTGGGCACATGAAAAAAAAATCCCCGTTCTCTTTAAAGACACATTTGCAAATTTGGGGGCAAAAGAGTCATCTTGTAGCTCATAAGGGCAGCTCAGCTGGTCACCAACCTCCACTCCTGCCTCAGACACAGCCCAACCATGCCATATTTGGCCTAAATGCCCATCAGGGAGGCCTTGCTGCCCAACTGGGAGAGCTGCTCCCTCCTGCTTCCAGACGAGAACCACTGAGAGCCAGATGGCAGGATCCACTTCCCTAACAGGTCGGCCATCCTAGGCTTGTCCGTTCTGAGTAAGGATAATAATGAAAACAGAATGTCTTCCTGGCACCTGGGTGGCTCAGTGGTTAAGTGTCTGACTCTTGATTTCGGCTCAGGTCATGATGTCAGGGTCGTGGGATTGAGCCCCGCGTGGGGCTCTGTGCTCAGTGGGAAGTCTGCTTGAGGATTCTCTCCCTCTGCCCCTTCCCCTACTTGCACGCGTGCATGCGCTCTCTAATAAATAAATCTTAAACAAAAACAGAATGTCTTCCTTCAGTATAACAGATATGTAGGGCCAGGTTTGAATGGAAATTTCATGCTGGATGGAGCAATACATATTTTTACATTAAAGGGAATGAACTAGAAGTTTTAAAATCATGTCATCGTTCAATCCTTACAACACATTTTGAAGTAGATACTTCTATTCATTATACAGAAGAAAATAAGCCTAGAAAAGACCCATGTATAGTTTTCCAAATAGACTCCAACAACGTACCCTCCTCCAAAACTATGCTACCTCCCCATCCTGCCTGGTGAACTGATGTCACACAGCCACCAGCTGGATCATCACCAGTGTCATCACTGACGCCACAGAGGTAGTGATCTGGCTGTTTCTTCCGGAGGGACAGAGTGTGAAGGAAGCAGGCGTTGCTGCCAGTGGAGGAAATGAGCTGTCTCTGGCAGTGGAGAACTGAGGGAGCCAAGGAGACAATTCTCATCTTAGCTTGCCTGCCACTCAGATTCACTCAACGAACATTTACAGAGTGCCACCACAATCCAGGCATGGTTCTAAGGGCTGAGATGCAACAGTGAAAATTCAGAAGCCCCAGGAGAATTAGAGAATCAGACAACAAGCATAAAAATAGCTGAGTCAGATCACGATAACTACAGTACTGTAAGAAAAATAAAGAAGGTAAAAGTAGAGAGTACAGAAGAGAGGGGTTATGTGTAATAAAGTGGTCAGGGAAAGCCCTCTGAAGGTAAGGTGGCATCTGAGCAAAGACCAAAACAGAAGGAAGTGAGCAATCGAGTCACGTGGCTATCTGAGGGAAAAGAGATCCAGGTAGAAGGAATAGCAAGTGCAAAGCCTTTGAGGCAGGAACATATTTGGAAGGCTGGAACAGCAGCAAGGTGGCCGGTGGACTGGGAACGGGGACAGCGAGAGCAAACTCGGGTGGGAGACGAAGCAGGAGTCACGGAGGGCCTGGTCGTTGTGTGCAGACTTTGGATCTTATTCTCAGTGAGGTGGGCATCACAGCAGGGTTCTGAGCAGAGGTGAACCTGAATCTGACTTAGGTTTTAAAAGCTCTCGCACTGTGCAGAGAAGGCTGCAAGCAGGAGGCTTGCCAGGGACGCCAGTGGGAATGACACTGGCTTTGCTACTGTGGGACCAGCAAGAAATGGTCGGATTGTGGATATAGTTTAAAGAGTCTCTGCAATAATATATCTTTGCCACATCTCCCACCGACTGCTCTGAGTCTCCGCGTTCCCAGGAGGAGCCGGATATGATACTGCTAAGCTGGGCGGGCAGGTTTTTCCTGCCTCTGGTCGCTATGGAAACCTTCCTGAAAGCAGCCATCTGGAAGCTGGTAAAAGCAGCTAAGGAGTTAGCCACCTCACCAGCTGCCCTGCTGTTGTCACAGGGGTACTGGGAGGCAAACTTTTGAAAACCAGGATCAACACAAGCAACTCTAGGTGCTACAGAAGGAATTTTTTAAATGAAATTTACATGCTTAAAGGTATCTTTTTACTCTGTCTCCAGTATATTTCTCCCTCATCTGCCAATCTTACGATTTCCTGTAAGACAAATTCTGTTCACAAAGCAAAGATTATCAGATGTCGCTGTAAATCTGTATGTGTTGGGAAGGGGGGGTGCTCACTCTTGATATAGATCAAGGAGATTTTATCCTTCATCCACTCTTGACCTACTATTCTAATTTTTTTGACAATAGTGAAGGTTTGTCACAAGTATTCCAAAAGGGCTGAGATCCTAAAGATTGTTTTTCTCTGTGAGAAAATGACAGGACACAGAAAACTATTAATAACTACCTGGGAGCGAGAAGTACAAAGCCAGGGAAGTCCCAAGAAAGGCTGGAATAAGATGATAATGGAGCTACTATAAATACTTTAAAAATTAAAATCTTGGGGCATGTGGTTGGCTCTGTCGGTTAAGTGTCCAACTCTTGATCTCAGCTCAGGTCTTGATCGCAGGGTTGTGAGTTCAAGTCCAACTGGCTGGGCGTGGAGCCTACTTAAAAAAAAATTACAATCTTAAAGACCTAAATATGAAATCTGAAACCATAAAACTCCTAGAAGAAAACATAGGCAGTAATTTCTTTGAAATTGGCCTTAGCAACATTTTTGTAGATAGGTCCTCTGAGGCAAGGGAAACAAAAGCAAAAATAGAACTATTGGGACTATACAAAATAAAAAGCCTCTGCACGAGGTAAGAAACCATCAATAAAACAAAAAGACAACCTACTGAATGGGAGCAGACATCTGCAAATGATATATCCGATAGAGGGTTGGTATCCAAAATATATAAAGAACTTACACAACTCAACACCAAAAAACCACACATAATTTGATTAAGAAATGGGCAGAGGACCTGAACAGTTTTCCAAATATGACATACAAATGGCTAACAGACAAAAAAAAGATGCTCCACATCACTCATCATCAGGGAAATGCAAATCAAAACCACAATGAGATATCACCTTACATCTGTCCGAATGGGCAGAATCAAAAAGACAAGAAAAACAAGTGTTGGCGAGGATGTGGAGAAAAAGGAATCCTTGTGCAGTGTTGGTATGAATGCAAACTGGTATAGTCACCATGGAAAAC